AGCAGGCTTTCTACCACTCCAGTGATGACCAGCTGCTGCCCTGAGACTAATGATCATGACAGAGGAAACGGCCTTGGAATCTGACTCTGAGTAGGGGTAGGAGAGAGTGAATAAAATCAATCAACCTGGGCACCTGCCTGGGAATGAGAGAAAGGTGAGCAATAGAAATGCAATACACCTGAACTCCTTTAGCTGAGCAGGGAGAAGAGAAGAGGAAGAAAGGAAAAAGGAAAGGGTCCTTTCCAAGTTTAAAGTTAAAAGGCCCTCATGAACAAGAAAGGAAAAGTGAGAAAAATCCCATGTTGCAGCTCTCCTTTCTTAAGGCCAAACGTCCAAAACCACTTTTCAGAGACAATTTTGCCGTTTCAGGAGAGCAATTCTGATCACACGCCAAACTAGTTAAGCCAGGGTGTTTGTACGCCAAAGAAACACAGCACTATCTCCGCTTAAAGGCGGCATTCAGTTTCTGACTTCTGGAAAGCCATCCTATACAGGTGATTGACGCAAATAAATCCCGCTTTATTGTACAGCTCAGAATCCCTGGCTTAGTTTGACTTTGGGAAGCACAACCCAAAGAAACCTGCAGGTCAAGTCCCCCCATCCAAGTCCATTCTTTCCCTAAGCGGATTTTCCTCCTGGAGTGTCAAGCTTTGCTTGAAGTGTCACCCCCTTGAATTGCTTTTCAGCTCAAGGCCTCAAGGGAACCCAGAGAGGAGTCACTTACTCAGAGCCAGGATGCTTAATGCAAAGTCATCAAAGCGCTCCTCTGCTTCTTGTCTTAAAGTGATAGGCCTCCTTTATTGTCCTGTTTGAACTACGCTTCCGGGCCCTTCTATCTATCTTTGTCTGCTAGTCAGGAAGAAAGCAGACATTAAAAAGCAGAGCCTCGGCCAGTGCCCACTTTGGCTCCCCGGCAGATTTAATTTGTCACCTCTTCATTAATTTGGAGTGACTTCTTTTCCACAAGGTGAAAATGCAGGAGTTTCTCTCTGAATAGGTAGATTTTGCACCAATGAAAGATTTTTATTAACTCAGCTAGTACAGGAGATCACAACTGACTGCCCTTGGAAACTAAGCAGGATCAGCTCTAGTTAGAATGTGGATGGGAGCTGGCTTAGGGAATTGCAGTCTCTAAGCTAAATTGGATGTCATGTGTGTGCATGTATCCCAGAAAAAAGCAAGGGTAAAGCATTTTCATATTGCCACCAACAATGCTATATGGAATCATCAGGAGTTGAATCTCCTTAGAGCAATGGTTCTCAACCTGTGGGTCGGGACCCCATTTGGGGTCGAACGACCATTTCACGGGGGTCGCCAAACAACGCAGTCCGCCATTTTTTTCCCTTTTCCTTAGCTGTGCTACTCCCTTTTATTCTATTGGCTTTTGAAAGCCAATAGAATAGACTCTCTTGAATAGAGTCTAATTCTATTGGCTTTCAAAAACCAATAAGAATTGTCCAGGCTGTCTCTGCCTTTCTGAGCCCGCCAAAAGTCCCATTCTGCAAACGGCGCTGCACCAGTTGAGTAGTCCTCGACTTACGACCGGTTGAGTAGTCCTCGACTTACGACCGGTTGGGGGTCGCGGCATTAAAAAGGTTGAGAACCACTGCCTTAGAGGATACTTGATTTTGAACATGAGATAACTTTCAATGGCTTTGTAGAAACAAGAACAATTTATTTTAATATTGTAATTCCCTCATTCATCAACAAGTGATTCTCCATCTCGCAAGCTCATGGAAATCCAAATTTCAGTTAGCGTTTACATGATTGCGTTCTTAAATTCAGTGATTATGGAGGTCCTAGTTACAAATACTGTATTGATATTTTGGAGCCATCTAAGATTTTCATTGATTCATTTGGACCACCAGCCGGGATTTGTAGAGAGAGCTCCATATGATTCAAAACACCCAGTTAATCAAGCCATTTCTGATTAGTATCAAAAGGTCTCCTTTCAAACTGATTCAAAACCAGTTAGCACAATTGGAGGAAGCTTGTTTCTTCTGTGGAGTGAAAACATCAAAGTTGCCTACTTAAGAGTCTGCCATGCTAATGAGATTGGCCTTTTAGCACAACTGCATTACCAGTACAGTTGATATCTGCTTTCTTAGAGGGAATCTTCCTTTTAAGCAAGTTTAGGAATGCTTGCAACAACTGACAGTAGTAACTAGTACTTGCAAATCCTCATTCCTATCTTTTGACCAAGCAGCCTGCAATTAGTAATTAAATCTAGCATGCAGTTTCATAACTGTATTCTATCTGAAAATTTGATTATATGCCATGAGAAATATAAACTGGACAACTCTTTCAATAGCTCATTCAAGCTACATTCCCTGTAACTCTTATTGCTATATAAAAAAAGAATATCTCCAAAGGCACTGAAACTTTGATTATGACTAATTGGTGTCAATTATAATCTGAATAGTTTTATTATGGTTCAGCAAACCATAGATTAAAAAGTAGATACTTACAAATTGAAACCTATTTGCAAGTAAACCCCATTGACTCCCATTACATTTTGCAAATAATAATATTACAAATTATTAGAGAAAAGTAATTGAAATAATGGAGAAAAAGTTCTTCTTTGAAGAGAAATGCCTGTAGAAGGAATAGCCTTGGGTTATGGGCTGAATTAAATTTTGTGAAAGCTTTTCTTATATATGAAGCATGCCCCAGCTTAGTGTAATTAAGTTATAATAGGTAATTAGTTGTCTACTGACAACCTCTTGCCAGAGTGGGAACATGATTTTTATTTAGAAAAGAATTTTGGCAGCCAGAAAAGAAGTTCACCAATTGTGGACTATTTGGAAGTGTGCCCAGGGGCATTTAAATTGGCTTTCTACTGGGGAGAGACACAGAGGGACAGCTATCTCCTCATAACTTGCTGGTAACCTATGTTGAAGCTGTAGATCCAGAGGTTGGACCACTCTCCTTTCTCACACTGACCATATGGGAGTTGCTGGACATGGTGCTAACCACTGTCCAAAAAGGGGCCTTGTTGATGCTGGTTGGATATATGGAAGGCTCAAGTCCAACAATGTTGAAGTGGAACGGTTGCAACTTGAATTAAGTTTTAAAAGAAAGGATCTGTTGCTCTTCTCACAGATTTTAGAGAGTTAATTCTGCCCTATCTGATTTTAGAGGAATGATGGCGAAGAAAAGCACCACAGGAAGATTAAAGGTGAGGAAGCTACAGCAATGGGCTAGATCAGCCTTTTCTGCCTTCCAGATTTAGGGAAAAGTAATCTAAACCTAAATTGGATTATAGATGTGATTAACATTTTAATGAATGTGGTAATTTCTCCTTCCTATTATATTAGACATTACAAGCTGAGAGTAGCTTTGTAAGGGGCGGGGGAGAGACAAGTTGTGAGGGCACACTGTACTTTTGAAGGGTCAGTTCTACTTGTTTTGAAAGGGGGCAGCCCACATGATCTGGGAAATGGGGACAATGCAGCAACTTCACTTGTATTTTGAATCAAAAAATTGGGGGAGGGAGACACAGGGCAGTTTCCCAAAAGCCCTGGAAGTGGCCACAACAGCCTGATAGTATCTTTACCAGATTTTACATGCATAAAATAAAAAAAAACCAAATGAAGCTTTGATCAGACCAAGGTGCCTACCATCTTGATTTCTTTTTTTAATTTGATCAGACCAGGGTGACTACCATCTCCTGCAGATACTACTCAATTAATCAGTTTTGCACCGTTTTTTTAAGAGGGAGTCAAGCTATTTTCCAAAGCGCCTGAAGGCAGGACAAGAAGCAACGGATGGAAACTGATCAGGGAGAGAAGCAACCTAGAACTAAGGAAAAACTTCCTGACAGAACAATTAACCAATGGAACAACCTGCCTCCAGAAGCAGTGAATGCTCCAACACTGGAAGTTTTTAAGAAGAGACTGGACGGCCATTTGTCCGAAATGGTAAAGGGTTACCTGCCTGAGCAGGGGGTTGGACTTGATGACCTTCAAGGTCCCTTCCAACTTTATTATTGTTATTGTTGTTATTATTATTATTATTATTATTGATCGTCGCACAGTCAGCCAGATGTTCAGACTGGATTTGGCATTTTGTCTACCTATCGAGTCCTTACCCAGGACCTGGGATAGGCAGATGTGGATGTTTGATGGTATTACAGTTATGGTCGTAGGATGGAAGCAGTTCCTAGTAAGGCTGCCTTTTGCAATTGACTAATAGCGAATTTGTCAATGCCAATGGTGTTCAAGTGGTGCTCCAATTGTTTTGGGATTGCACCCAAGGCGCCTATTACTATTGGATGATGATGATGATGATTATGTAGTATCTGATCTGTTTTTAAGTAGTTTCAGAAAAGGCCGACTATAAGACCTTTGAGTATAATTTTACAGGAACAAATGAAAATAATGGCCTTGTAACAAGCCAGCCTTTGATGGCACTTCATGAATTTGCCTAACATAGAAAGCCTTCTGGGGTGACCAAAGAGCGAGAAATCTGCAAAGTCTTTATAGAGGTCTCTAGAAAGGCCAGCATTTCCCGCCTTTTATTTTACAAAGTTGCCGGCTTAGGGTACCTTTGTTGCCCCCTCCCCCATTTTTTTTCTTTTAAAAAAAAGCATATTCCACCTCCGCTTTTGGTCCGACCTCCTTTATTTAAATAAATATAAATATACATTTGATATAAAACTATCTCCCTACAAACCAGAGCATTCCACCGACTCTCCAGAGAATTGCCCCCCCCCTCCCCTTCCCATTTCTGATCAAGATCGGTACAAGGCTGCTACTCTTTGATTTCCCCTAAGTCAGAGGTAGGCCACCTTGGCTCTTTTATGACTACTGGACTCCAACTCCCAGAATTCCTGAGCCAGCATGGCTCAGCTTGGAAAGCTCTCCCTGTCCCCTCAGCATGGCTGGCTCAGGAATTCTGGGAGTTGAAGTCCACGAGTCATAAAAGAGCCAACGTTGCCTACCCCTGCTTAAGTCTTCTCCCCTAATTTAGGGGGGGGGGATGAGGCCTCGAGCGCTTTCCTCCGCCGCCGTGGACCTGGCAGGACGGGGGGGGGGGCTGGGGATCTGGGGTCTCCCCCGTTTGGGGAGCAACCAGATCGGCTGCCGTTTGGAGGAGGCAACCCCCCCTCAGCTCGGCAACTCGGGGCTCGATCAAAACAAGCGAAGGGGGAAATCGTCCCAAGTCCGTCAGAGTCCGGCGGGGCTCTTGTCAAGGCGCTTCAGTCCGGCGGAGGTCCCCTCACAACGGGGAGACCTCCTTGTCTTCGTGGGCCGAGGCCGGAGAGAGCGACTCTTCGTCCTCGGACCTGGCGAAGCGGCCCGGGTTGCCGGCGCAGCTGCAGCCGCCGTGCGTGTTCCGCTGGGCGCCCTTGCCTTCTTTCTTGTGCTTCACCCGCCGGTTCTGGAACCAGATCTTCACCTGCTTCTCCGACAGGTTGAGGTACGTGGCGATCTCGATCCGCCGCAGCCGCGACAGGTACATGTTGGCGGAGAACTCCCGCTCCAGCTCCAGCAGCTGCGTGCTGGTGAAGGCCGTGCGCATCCGCTTGCCGTTCTGCAGCGGGCCGGCGCCGTCCGAGCCTCCTGCCAGCGAAGCCGAGGGGAAAAGAAGGAGGAAGAAGAGGAAGAGGAAGAGGAAGAGGAGGAAGAAGAGGAAGAGGAAGAGGAAGAGGAAGAAGAAGAAGAAGAAGAAGAAGAAGAAGAAGAAGAAGAAGAAGAAGAAGAAGAAGAAGAAGAAGAAGAACCCGGTTAAAAAGCCCAACAAGAGCTAACCCATCCTGGACCACAAATCCCTCGTTGCACTTCAACCTCCGCCCACCTGAGCAACTGGACAGCAGGACAGGGAGGTATCTTCCCCCTCCAATTCTCTCTCTCTCTCTCTCTCTCTCTCTCTCTCTCTCACGTCTTCCGCTGTTGCTTCCCAATTCCTGCCAATTACAGCGAAAGTGCCTTTGAACATGGAGGCTTCACACCATCTCCTTGGGCCGGTCTAAAGCCCCTGCGGTCGATTCGGCTACGACTCCCTGGAAGTTAGGTGTTACTTGCCCCGGGCTGAATAAAGACTTTCTCCCGCATCTCCGCTATGGAGGGTGCGAGTTTTGCTACGGTGTACCAGAGGGGGCGGGGTCACCCATCCCTTCGCTTTCTTTCTTTCTTTCTTTCTTTCTTTCTTTCTTTCTTTCTTTCTTTCTTTCTTTCTTTCTTTCTTTCTGTCTTTCTGTCTTTCTTTCGTTCCTTCCTTCTTTCCTTCCTTTCTTTCTCTCTCTCTTTCTTTCCTTCCTTCTTTCTTTCCTTCCTTCCTTTCTTTCTCTTTCCTTTCTTTCTTTCCTTCCTTCTCTCTTTCTTTCCTTCCTTCCTTCTTTTTTTCTTTCTTCTTTCCTTCCTCTTTCTTTCTTTCTCTTTCTCCTTCTCTTTCCTTCCCCTTTCTTTCTTTCCTTCTTTCTTTCCTTCTTTCTTTCTTTCCTTCTTTCTTTCTTTCCTTCTCTTTCTTCCTTCTCTTTCTTTCTTTCTTTCTTTCTTTCTTTCTTTCTTTCTTTCTTTCTTTCTTTCTTTCTTTCACTTTTTCTTTTTCTTTCGCCAGATGGAGATCACGCGGATTCCTTTCCTTGGTCCAAGAACAGAGATCTCTCCACCTTAAGACCCACCGCCTCCCGTCCCTTAAGTTCCAGGTTGGCGTTATTCGATGGGAACCATCAGGCATATTTCTTTCTTTTTTTTCTTTTAAATCTTCTGGCAGGGCATCCCTCCAGGAAAAGGCTGGAAGTCTGTACGCCCTGGGGTGGCTGGGACGCATGGGGTTTAAAACCCCCAAACATCTGGATGGGTCTGACGGTTCGCCTTCCCTCCGTCCAGAAGGCGCTGCTGCCGGATGAGTGGCCTTCCTCCTGGAAGGGTTCTTGGGATAACCGAGAATTCGTCTCAGGAGAGGACCGGAGTCCCGCTCCCTGCGTCAGGCTCCCTGCTCTGCCCGGAGCAGCTTCTCACCTGACCGCGCGGGGGAGGGGAACGCCTTCCTAGCCCCGGCTGTAGCCTGCCCTGGGAATCCGGCCTAAAGCTCCCAGATCTCCCGGGGATCCCCCAGGAACCCGAGAGCTTTCCCTTAGGACGAGGGAATCCCGGGAAGATTCAAGGGGCTGGGCCAGCGGAGAGCGGGAGAGGGCACCAGCGCCCGGCTGCCGGGTCCCCAGCGCAGGTCCTCCACCCTCCACCCACCCTCCCTCCCTCCCTCCCTCCCTCGCACACCGAGGCAGGACCTACCCAGGCCGAGGCAGTGGAAACGCCGGGGGTCGCTCATGCCGTAGGCGGCCGCTGCGCAGACAGGTGGGTGGCCCAGCGCTTGGGCCGCCGCCGCCGCCGCCGCCACGGATGCCACCGAGCCGGGCGGCTGCTGCTGCTGCTGCTGCTGCGGGGCCGGCTGCTGCTGCTGCTGCTGCTGCCCGTGGCTCACCCGGGGGCAGAACTGGCCCTCGCCGCCCGGAGCGAAGTGGCCCTTGAGCAGCGGGAGGGAGGCTGCGGAGACGGCGCCCCCTCCTCCTCCTGCCCGCGCCGAGGCGTGCAGGTGCGAGGTGACACAGAGCGGGCAGACGCAGAAGGAGCCGCCGCCGCCGCTCTTGCGCGACGGGCAGGCGGGCCCGCCGGCTACTGACATGACCAGCGGCGCCGGCACGCCCAGCGGGAGGAGGAAATCCTGGCCCGGGGGCGGCGGGGGCGGCGGCTCCGGCAGGGCAGGCACCGGCCTGGCCGCCGCGTCCTTGACGATGAGCGAGTCCACATAGAAAGAGCGCGACATGGCCGGGCAGGTGCTCGGCCAGTCCCGGGCCACCCGACCGGCTCTTCTCCGGGGTGGCTCGCCTCCGCCAAAGTCCCTGGGGACGAGCTGGGAAGGTGCTTATGGCTGGGAGGCGAACAAAGGGGGGCTCGCCAGAGGGCTGGTCTTAAAAGAGAGGCCCCCCCCCTTTCCTCTTCTCGCTAGACCTCCCCTGGATGTCCCCCCCACACACACAGCCCCACACCGCCCCATCGCCCTACTCTACTCCGGTGCCGCGATTTATAGTAACTACTTTACGCACGTGATGCCTGGCAAGCGGCGCGTCTCCAAAAGCTGCTTGTTCGGAGCCCTTTCAGAGGATTCCCCCTCCCTCCCCAAAACAAAGCCTGTGTGTGTGTGTGTGTGTGTGTGTGTGTGTGTGGGCGTGGGGGGGGCAGGCTTAGCGAGAGGCGTGTGTGTGTGTGTATGTGTGTGGCGCGTGGAGGGGGGCAAGCTTAGCGAGAGGCGTGTGTGTGTGTGTGTGTGTGTGTGTGTGGTTAATTCATTGGGGGTTCGCGAGGGGCGGCTTCTCCGCCTCGGCGCTCCTGCGCCCCCGCGGAGCGTCCAGGAGGCGGCAAGTTGCAACTTCGCCCGCTTCTCGCAAGTCCCGCTTGGATTCGAGGCCGGAGGCGTTGCCCCCCCCCCACGCTTCTCCTTTCCCTCTTCGTTGGTTGTTGCCTACCTTGTGTAGACTTGGGCTTGCCGGGCGCGCTCACCTGAATTTGCCCGACGTCTGGTTTTCCACCACACAACGCCCCCCCACCCCACAGAAAGGGACTGTATGGCCTCAGTACGCTAAGAAGTCACCTCTTCTCCCCCTCCCCAAACGAATTGTAAGGGGAAACTAAACAAACTTCTCCCAGGGGTCCAGATGCACACACACACACACACACACACACACACACCTAAGAAGTCACCTCTTCTCCCCCTCCCCAAACGAATTGTAAGGGGAAACTAAACAAACTTCTCCCAGGGGTCCAGATGCAGACACACACACACACACACACACACACACACACACACACCCCTCGGTAACCGGCCCGGGAGACGAACGGCGCCGCCGAAGCGTCGTTTCAGCGCTACATCCTGCACAGGTGCGGCTCTAACGAGGGAGGAATTCGGGCTACTGTCTGATTCTATCTAGGCGATCCAGAGGGATCCCAACCCCAGTTCGCATCTTCCCCCGCCCCCCAAGGGGGTGCCGCGTTGAAAAAAAAAAGCCAGGCTGTGTTTCCAGGGCAGCCTTTTTCTAATCAGGTGCTGGGCTGAAGGCGAAAAGTCCTTCGATCCATCTGAGCGCCACATTGGGAAAAAGCAGTTTGGGGGAAAAAAAAAAAAAAATCCAGCCCGCAGCTGGGTTCTCCTTTTCCAGCCCCGCGCGATTTAATTGGTGAGGTGCCCCATCGCTAGTCTGGACAAAAGGCCCCTTTCAATCACGGGGTTGATTGATTACAGCCCAGATATAGATTCCACACCCACAGTCCATTTGGAACAAGCCCTTTTTGATTTCAGTGGGAGTTACTTCCGAGTAAACTGGCTTTGTGGGTTCCAGACTAGACCTTTCTGTAGGGTAGAGCAGAATAGGATACAAAGGTAGCAGGTGATCTTTTAGATCTTTTAATTCTCAAGATATAAGGGAGGTAGCTTTTCCCTTCGGATAATTTCGAAGCTCCTTTGCTCCTCTTGACATGTGTTCACACACACAGAGAGAGAGAGATGGGAGGGAGGGGGGAGAGAGAGGAGGGAGGGAGAGAGAGAGGGAGGGGGAGAGGAGAGAAGAGGGGGAGGGAGGGAGAGAGAGAGGGAGGGGGGGGAGAGAGAGAGAAGAGGGGGAGGGAGGGAGAGAGAGAGAGGGAGGGGGGAGAGAGAAAGGGAGGGGGAGAGAGAGAGAAAGGGAGGGAGAGGGAGGGAGAGAGAGAGTGGGAGGGAGGGAGAGAGAGAGAGAGAGAGAGAGAGAGAGAGAGAGAGAGAGAGAGAGAGAGAGAGATTGAATGTTCATCAGAGAGCTAGGTGCCCAAGAACGCCTTTGTCCCTTTTCTAATTACCCACTGATTTTTATTTCGTATAGCAGTTAGCTCTCTTGAATTCAGTGCAAGGCTGGGATCTTATTCCCTTTTTACTTTGGAGTGAGTCCCAGTTACCCAGAGCTTACGCCTCTGAGAAAATGTGGGTACAATCAACTGAACTGGGATCCGTTGTTTGAAATGATCAGACGGATCCGCTGTTTTTCATTCAAGGCCAAAAACAAGTATAATCCCAAGGATTACTTCATTATATAGGATTTCTCACCTTCTCCGGTTTATTGGGAAATTGACTTCAACGGGTAAGAAAGAGTTGAATAAGTCAGCAGGAGGAATATAAGGCTAGGCAGTCTCTGGATTTCCACTGAGTAGTTGAATGCAATCTGATAGCTTTCTTGCCAGTGCACTAGTGGCTGCCACTCTCACATTACAGGATAGCAGAGTTGGAAGGGGCACTTCTTTGAACCTCCAGCCTTCGCTAGAGATTTGCACGTGGTCTCCCATCCTAAGCTCAGCCTTGCACAGTCCAAACTCCAAACTCGGCTGGGGAGGGCAGAGCTGTTGAAGTAGAGGGATATGCAATTGGCTTCGGGCTGTAAGCCCAGAACAAGCCGGCAAGAAGTATTATTATTATGGATCATTGCACAGTCAGCCAGATGTTCAGACTGGAGTTGGCATTTTGTCTACCTATCGAGTCCTTACCCAGGACCTGGGATAGGCAGATGTGGATGTTTGATGGTATTACAGGTATCGTCGCAGGATGGAAGCAGTTCCTAGTAATGTCGCCTTTTGCAATTGACTAATAGCGAATTTGTCAATGCCAATGGTGTTCAAGTGGTGCTCCAGTTGTTTTGGGATTGCACCCAAGGCGCCTATTATTATTATTATTATTATTATTATTATTATTATCATCATCAATAATAATAATAATAATAATAATAATAATAATAATAAAGTTGGAAGGGACCTTGGAGGTCATTTAGTCCAACCCCCTGCTCAGGCAGGAAGCCCTATACCATTTCAGACAAATGGCTGTCCAGTCTTTTAAAAACTTCCAGTGTTGGAGCATTCACCGCCACAGGAGGCAGGTGTTCACTAACTTAACAACCGCAGTGGTTCACTTAACAACCTTGGCAAAAAAAGGACGTAAATGGAGCAAAATTCACTTAGCAAATTGTCTTGCTTAGCAATGAAACTGTTGGGATCAGTTATGGTCAGCCAAAACCATGGCAGTGCCCTGACCCACAGGGAAGTGATTTTCAGTGACTACCTTGCCCCCGTAAAATGACTGATGAAAAACAAATCTAAGAGAAATACACCACTCTACTAGAAGAGTCTCTTTGGGGAAAAGTAGAAGAGTCTAGAAGAGAAGACTAAAAGAGCCAACAAGACACAGACAGTTTTTCTTCCCCTCCTGCCATCACTCTGCTGAACTAATTCTCCCACTTCTGTTTAAAGTCTGTGTCTATTAGCCCATAAAGTGTTGCACCTAATGAGAAGGAAGGACTCCCTGGAGAAGAAAGAGCCTAATGCTGGGAAAGATGGAGGGCAATAGAAGAAGGGGATGACAGAGAATGAGGTGGCTGGATGGAGTCACTGAAGCAGTAGGTGAGAACTTAAATGGACTCCAGAAGATGGTAGAAGACAGGAAGACCTGGAGGAACGTTGTCCATGGGGTCGCGATGGGTTGGACACTACTTCGCAATTAACAACAACAAATAATAATAAGTCTCGTGTGTGGAAGATGCTTAAAATATATTTCTCTTTTAGCCCAACTGCATGTTCATAGGGCGTGGCACCTTGCCACACTCGGCGTCGCGAAGCGATCCTTTGGAAGAAAAACTGGATCTCAGATTGACACCTTTCCCTCAAAGCGGAAAAAGCCGCGCGAGCAGAAAAGGACTCCTTGCCGGGCCAGGGATAGGCAACCTTGGCTATTTTATGACTTGTGGACTTCAATTCCCAGAATTCCTGAGCCAGCATGGGGGAACTTTGGCCCCCTCATGACTCGTGGACTTCAACTCCCAGAATTCCTGAGCCAGCCTGGCTCAGCTTGGAAACCTCTCTCTTTCCCCTCAGCATGGCTGGCTCAGGAATTCTGGGAGTTGAAGTCCACGAGTCATAAAAGAGCCAAGGTTGCCTGTCCCTGCCTTACCCAAAGCTGCCCTTTGCAAACTAAACGCCTGGGATTCTCTGGAGACTCCTTCCCGCCGTCCACGAGCAGAGAAGAAGCGAGAAGGGGTTTGGAGAAGCGAGAAGGGGGTTTGCCAATCCCGGCCCAGGGCAGACCTGCGGCGGGAACGATCCTCTGCATGGTTTCTCAACCCCCCCCCCCCCGCGCAGGAGAGGAAGAAGCTCGTGCCAGCCGTTTCGAAAGAAGTTCTTCCCGAAACGCTCCTCGCATTTTGGCTTCCTTTGAAATTAATCCCAGGAAAATCAGCCTGGGATTGAATTTGAGCGTCGGCCTGAGTCCCCGGAAAAGCGGCTTCAGTTTTCCTTCGCACGCACGCACGCCTTTGGGGGCAGGCGGCTCCTTGCCAGGCCTCGGAAGAAAGGCGCAAAGCGAGGAAGGCGCGGCGCCTCGCCCTTCGCTCCGCACCCAAGGACCTCAACTCCTCCTCCGCTGCTGGGTCCCAAGGGTGCCTTTCAAGGCAGAAGCTGGCCTGCGCGGATTCTGGAGCCTTCCGGCCAAGGGCGATCCGGGCGAGGGAATGGACCCAGGGGCGAGAAGGTGCCACGGTCTCCCCTGACCTCGTGTTGTGGGAATTGCAACAGGGGCTTCTAGCCAAAGCACAGCCGAGCTGCCCGGCCCGCTTTCCCTCGCCTTGAGCTCGATCTTGGCCGAGTAGAGTATATAGAATAGAATAGAAGTAGAGCAGAATAGGAGATAGAATAGGAGATACAATACAATGGAAGTAGAGTAGAGTAGATAGAGTAGGAGATAGAATAGAATAGAATAAAAATAGAGTAGAATAGGAGTAGAGTAGAATAGGAATAGAATAGAACAGGAGTAGAACAGAACAGAATAGAAGTAGAATAGAATAGAATAGAATAGAATAGAATAGAATAGAATAGAAGTAGAGCAGAATCGGAGATAGAATAGAATAGGAGATAGAAGTA